CCTATTTTGACTTGCATCAAAAGACTTTAAAATAGATCCAATCAAAAAGGAAGATCTTTTTTATTTATTATCATATTAATAAACAATTTTATTTTATTTTTGTTAAATGGTCTTCATTAATATTAAATTTAAAAGGAAAAAACATTGTCGTTGTAAACTGATTTTACCTTCGTTTTTTGTAAACTACAATTTTATCTTACAAACTGATTTTCGTTGACATGCATGCTCTATTTTAACTCTACTAAAGAGTGAAACTCTAGTAAGCGAGCAAAACATTAAGATTTATAAAACCTCGAATAGTTTACAAATGCATGCAACATCGAATACTACTTAATGATTATCTCACGGAAAATTATAGATTGCAACACGTAAAATGTGAAAAACAAATTAAATCAAAGTATTATTTTATTTTTTTTTACTTTAAAGCTAATAAATGCAAGAAGTAAAAAATATATATATATATAGACCGTGGGTTTAAAATAGATAAGCATGCATTAACAAATCAAACAACAAAATGGATTACATTAAACATCATTCTATTATCTATATGTATATCATTACGCTACATTCCAACATAAACTACGTACGAGTTACATGGCAAGAGTAAAAGGAAATTAATATTATTGATTGATATGTCTAGTTCAAAGTAGGCCAAACATGTTTAATACAACATTATTCTCTAGAGTCTACTCACTGATATAGTTATGAAGTCTAAGGTTAAATATGTTTATTACGAAAATACATACATACATCATATAGGTGAACAATAAACCGTGTTGAATTGTCTAACCTTCGCTTTCTCACATCATTGTCTTTGCCCAATAAATTAAATAATATGTTAAAAACAATTTATGTTGAGATTTTTGTATATTTTCTTACACAATGGAGTATTAAATAATCGTAGAAATCTTATATTTTGATCTTATTAAATTTACAACTTTTATTTGAAAAATAATTCAAACTAAATAATTGATAACGTTTGAAATTCAATTTTAATGATAAGTTTTCTCTTATCATTATAAAGATTTTCTTTGGAATTGTACATAGATAGTTAATGGAGTCATCTCTAAATTGAAAAAAAAAAATTAAACATAATTTCTTAATTTTAATTTTAAAAAATCTATTTTAAATAATAATTTATGCTATTATTGAAAAATTAAATTTAACGATAATATTTTTCAAACAGAAATTTAAGTGTGATATTTAAATTATTTTTATTAGGATTAAACATTATTATTTTGGTTTTTTTTTTGTAAATTTCCGTCAAAAGAACTACTG